CAGTAACGGAGCTAGATTGTTGGAGAAAACGTAAAAGTAAGTAAATTTAATCAATAAACTCAAATACCCAGAAGAGTGAAACGAATTTCAAATCTCAAAAATAGAAAAAGCCGTCGTCTTTGAATTTTTATTTTCTGATGAACTTGACTGAGAATTTTCTGGTGAAAGTGAAAAGAAAGAGAAAGATGAATAAAGAAAAATATCAATTTTGATTCAAAAAAGAGAGAAAGACAGCGAATTAGAAGTGTTTTTGAGTTTGATGATCACATGTGACGCGACTTACGTGAATATAGGTCAAAGAGAAAAGTTGACCTTCTGACTTTGCTTGTGAAGAAGACACTATAGTAGTAGTAGTAGCCTTGACTCATTGTAACACACTGTTCTATTATATATATAACGGTTAAACACGGTAAGCAAAAGGACTCCATGGCCCAATGGATAAGGCGCTGGTCTACGAAACCAGAGACTCTGGGTTCGATCCCCAGTGGAGTCGCTCTCTTTTATTTTTTAACTATATATTTTCATATTTTGTGGTATTTATATGAATTCACTCTTGTTGATGTTGAAGCATGGTACAACTACAAAGATGCAGACAAAAAGCCAAAGGATTGTTCCACAAAAAGAACATTGTTGTGTAGAATCCATGGCTCAAGCTTTCTTTTCTCTTCCTCTTGTTTTCTCTTTTTCAGCCATGTCTTTAGCTTTCAGGTGTATTTGTTATTACCATGATCATACCAATATGTTAAAATCTCAATTTAACCAAAAAAGAAAGGTACAATTACAAACGTGAATTACAATTTTGTGGTTTCAATCAAAGCACTTGGAACAAGATACAAACAAAAATTGCTAATAATACATAAAAAGAACAAGTGAAGTGAAGCAGAAGTGGTAATAAATAGAATTTTTGAGAAGAACAAAACAGAGTCTCTCTGTCTCCAAAATTCTGAAGACACTAATTTGTTACAAGTCTTGTGCTCTGCCGTTTCACAAGCACAAAAAAAACAAAGAAAGAAAAGAGAACCATTAGGCTTCGATTCCGAAGATGAACCAATTTAAAAACCAAAACAAAAAACCCCCAAAATTAGGTTTTTGAAAGGAGATGAATTTTTCTTTTATTAATAGTATATATTATTAATTGAAGCTTCTCTTATCTGTCTTCTTCAAAATCTGGGAATGCTGAGGTAAACCAAACTCTAATCTCATTCCACATTCAATCTTCCTTCTTCACCATCCATCCCTCGACGATGATGACCTGTTAAATAACCCGAAACGTCAGTTTAATCGCATCGAGAGATAAAAATGCAAGATAAATTGATGCAAACATCGTTAAGTCTGGATCTTTGTACTAAAGTCAGCATCATTTCTAAGTTTCTCAAGACTTCTACAAGATTATCTCTTGGATTCATTTCAAGTATATTGTAAGTCTCTTCTTTGTAATGGGATTGAATCAGATGTACTAACCTGTCGAAGTTTCTGTTGCTGAAGAATCCACGTTCCTTGCTTCCTTGGAAGTTTCTTCGGTCATCTACTTGTCTTGGCCAAGGTTCACCTGTGCCACGTGATCTAGGTCTTTCCATGGATTCAACATTCCTAGACTCGTCAATTGATCCAGCCCGTGAATGAGGTCTTTCTGAATAGTTACCAGTTCTGCCTGCACTTGATCCAGGCCTATCAACTGCTTTTGGCCTGAACCTGACTTTGTCGTCCAACTCACGGATTAGTAAGTCCAGATCTTTTTCTTTCTCGCGTATAAGATCCGGTAGATTATGGTGATTATTCTCGGATTCTTGTTGAGGTTCCTTGCTTTCAGGTGCGATGGCTGCTTTCTTCTCGAGTTTCTTCCGTAGTTCTTCTATCTCTTCCTTCAACATCCTCTCTCCTTCTGTTTCAGGCCTGGAACAAAAAAAATTCAAAAGACAGAGATGAAAAGTGATATCAATAGCTAATTGGCAGATGATCTAGAAATTACTCATATACCAAAGCAAGGCATCACAGAAAAATCAACCAAAGTAGACAGAAAACTTAGACGAATGCTAGAGCACACGTTATCAGAAGGAAAACTACAGATTAGAGATGAGATGCCGGTAAAAAAACAGGTAAGAGTTATCATACAAGTTGCAGGCTATGCAATTTTATAAATGTCCAGAGGTTTAGAGGAAAAGATAAATGAATCTGCCAAAGAAATGGAATGGGCATTACACATATTCGGTACTTTGCATGATGTGCCAAAATTTAGGACTAGGTAGTGAAACAAGCAATTAGAGAAGAGTCTAAAAGGACATACATACAACATGTTTCAAAAGAAACCCATGAAGACACTATAACTTAAGTACATTAGTCATTCACTAAGTTTCCATTTTGAATTCCATTTTCCTTTCCTATATTGGTTAGGCAGTTAAAATGGATAATTTGAGAAATAATTAACATCCAAACCACTGCAACAAAACGGAATTGAAGCAAATCCACATTCCTTAGAGAAAAGAAATAAAATCCAGATGAATAAGGACCTGTCAACCCTGCGATGCTCAAGCTCAGAATCAATCTTACGCCAATCTTTCCCTTGTTCCTCGAGCAATACTTCTCGAGGTTTTGCATCGCCAAAAGGATTCACCTTTGGTTTCGGTTTCACCACATTCTCCACATTGTTCAATGCTAAACTCTCAGACCTATTAGATTGAGCACTTGATGGTCTACTAGAATGTGCGCTCGAAGGTCTGCTCGTTTGGGAGCTTCCTTTCTTAGCCTCAATGTCCGAGTCAAGTTTCTTCCAGTCCAATCCTTTCTCCGCTAAAACTTGCTCTCTCGGTCTAGCAGCTCCAAATGGACTCGGCTTACTCGTCTTCACATCAGTTGGAGTTTCACTAACTCCAGTATCAACAACCTTTCGTGGCTCCAAAACAAGACGACGACGCTCTTCCTGAACACCACCGGAAGAGACTCCTCTCGCCCACCGGTCAGGCTCCGGTGGTCCAGAGTCACGGTAACCCGCTCCAAATGTAGATGATTTCGCAAAAGACGACTGACTTTTACCAGCTGCCCAATTATCAACCTCGTCAGCTTTAGAGAAG